CACTGTGGATTTGTTTGGTATATTAATTATTTGTACATCATTATGATTTTAGTACTTCAGAAAAGTACTCAAAAGTGGAGCTGCAGAGATAATATCCACCATTCAGTCATCTGTTTGTTTGATTCATTCATCCCACTTGAATACTTGAAATTTAAATTATTTATCTGAGTTTCAGCTGTCAGATACTTTTGGTATATTTGTGTTGTGATTGGACGATTAAAACAATATAATTTACCGATGGTTTCATAGACGGGACTATTTAATAAACCTCATAATAATTAAATATTATTGTCAGGTACATGAATAAAACCAGCATGTGGCTTGCATGAGTTTCGTATTCACAGTCCTTGGAATACTGCTCTTGGCAACCACTTTTATCTAATAGGATCAAAATAATATCTTCCCTTTGGGCTGGGCTGGACTGTACTTATGTTATGAATTGCTGCAAAACATAGCATTATCAATTTTTTATATTATTTTTACAAAAGATGTTTTGGGGTAAAATGTTTTTGTTTTTTTTAAAGCATTTTTACGTGTACACACTTTGTAATACTTTGCATGTAATGATGTTCAAAATAGTCTGATACAAACCTGTATTGCATATGGGTTATATGCATATTGCATATGCATATCCATTGTCTGCTGTTGACAGTTTCTTGTACTGTATAAAGAAAATCCCTTTTATGATCCATTACATCATCTAATTTGCATAGTAACTGTCAGACTTTTATTGAACTAGATTCTTGTACATACAAGTGTCAGTGTCAGTAAGGCAGTAATTTCCCTGAAATTTTGTTCCTGCAAATGTCCTTCCTTCACTAATAAGTCACAAATATCTTTGACAAGAAAATTTAGTTTAGAGTTTTTGTACATATTAATTACTATAGAATATTTTAGAATATTTTAGCTGAAATTAATATCCGCTGAAAAGGCTTTTTGGGTGTTTTGTTTGGAATATATATATATTCACTGATTTTTGATGAATTTAATGTGAAATATAGGTAAAAAAGTATATTCGCTGGATTTTATTTTCACTGAAGCATCCCTTCAGTGAAAATAGCAAAAAAATAAATTCCAAGTGAATATAAAGTATTCTACAGTAGCTAATTATCATAATTGATATTTTTGTTTGGGGGAAGGACTGTACATGTATCTCCTAACACTTTCATAATATACATGTATGTATTTAAGTTATTTCTCATGATGAGTGTGTCTCTATTTTAATAGTCCTTTCGTCCACTCAGACTTTGTCATGCCTTGTATTATCACCATGACAACATTGATGGCTTTCAGTTTTAATGATAAGGTTTTAAAACGGTTAAATTTCTTCCACTAGAAATGTATGCTGTTTCATAATTAGGAAACTAAAATCTGTGAAAGTCATTCTGAATCCCAGTGTCAAGAACCCTGGTGAAATTGTCACCACTATAATAGCAGAGTTTGAACTTTCAATTTTCAATTGATTAGATTAGATTATTTTGACATAAAATGATAGGAACAACATGGAAGGGAACCAATCTGGTGCCAAGCAAACACCTTTGAAACCACTGCGATAAATGTTCTCAGTTACAAAAATCACAATCATTTTTGACTCCTGAGTGCGAAGCACAAAAAGGGAGTCTTTGCAGTTTAATAGTTTAATGTGTTTGTCTGTGTGTCTGTTCCACTGATATCTCAAGAACCATACATTGATTTTTGATGAAACTTGGTGCATAGATGCTCTGGGCCAATGCGCAGGTCTGATTAGGTTTTGGTAAAAATCCTTGTATATTAATTACCTAATTTGCATGATAATTAGCTGATTTTTAGCTGTTCCATGATTGTTCCACTGATGTCTAAACAACCAATCATTGGATTTTGATGAAACTTGGCACGTAGATGCTCTGAACTAATGCCCAAATTTGATTAGTTTTGGGTAAAAATCTGTGTCAATATTAATTACCTAATTTGCATAATGATTTATCAATTTTTGGCTTTTCCACTGATATCTCAAGTACTAATCATCACATTTCGATAAAACTTGGTACATACATGTAGATATCATAGGACACTGCACAGACCTGATAGTTTATAGGGTAATATCAGTACATATTAATTACCTAATTTGCATAATTAATTAATTTTCAGCTTTTGATATTTCAAGTAGTAATCATCACATTTCACTGAAACTTGGTACATAGTTACTTAAGAACTGTGCATAGACCTGATTAGTTTTGGAGTAAATATTTGTGCATATTAATCACCTTATTAGCATAATTAGTTAATTTTCAGCTTTTCGCCTGATATCTCAAGTACTGATCATTATATTTCAATGAGACTTGCTACATAGATCCTCTAGGACTATGCAGAGACCTGATTAGTTTTAGGGTAAATATTTATGCTTATTAGTCACCTAATTAAAATAATTAATTAACACTGATATCTCAATTACTGATCATCACATTTGAATAAAATTTGGTACATAAATGCTCTAGAACAATAGACAGGCCCGATTAATTTTGGGTTGAAATTTGTTCATATTAATTCTCTAATAATAATTCATAGTTTTTTTGTTCTAATCACATTTCAATGAAACTTGGTACATAGATATTACATTACGCAGGCCTTATTAGTTTTACACTCAAATCTGTTCATATCAGTTACCTGATTTACATAATTAGTTTTCAGCTATTCCATCAATATCTCGAGTACAAGTGATTTTGAATTAATTTTTAATGTGTCTTCAATACTCTCGGCACACGGGAGTTCTTTCTAAGCTTTCTTTGATTTTTCTTGTAAAGTAGTTTACACTATACTGTAAAATACTTTATTTTATTATGGAGTTAATTTCGCTGAAGGAATGATTCAGTGAAAATAAAATCTTTCCTTTAATTTTACATTCAAATTAAATTCCATACAAAACATCAAAAAGTCCTTTCAGCGAAAAATAATTCCAGCTAAATTAATTAAAAGTATTTTACAGTATACATGTGTATGACATAAAATGATAGGAACAACATAGGCAATATGGAAGGAAGCCAAAAGAAACCCCCTGGCATCAAAGCAAATGCCTTTGAAACCTCTGTGTAGTCCAAGCCCTGCAATAAATGTTCTCAGTTACAAAAAAACACAACTATTTTTCTCTCCTAAAGTAGTTTACACTATATATCTCTAAGAACGATCAAAAATTGATTATTTAATCTGTGCTTTTGGATATTTCAGATTAAGAGGTTTTTAGCATGGTACTGATTACAATCACTGTGCTTATAACAGGATTTGTTTTGTCTGAAAAGTAGAATACTTCAATTCCACCAGAGAATACTGATGACTTATCAGTATGCATCGCTGCACCAATTTCTTCGCTATATCCAATTCGTTTGACATAAATTGAATGATTGATTTTATTCTTTCCTAAATATATTCCATGTAATATAATCGTTAACCAATGTATATTTCACCTTGTATTCCGTCAATCACAGCTTAATGTCAGTGTAATTAATGACCCTGGAATAAAGATTGACTGGCATCTATAGAAAGATGTATAATCTAATTTTACTGTCATTTGCTCACTAGCTCTGCATTCTACCAGTATTCTAAGCGCTTTCGCAACAAAACAGCATTCACTGTGTTGCATGGATAGAAATGCATTCCAATTCAGTATCTGCTCTGCATGTATTAGAAGTACTGTACTGTACTGTACTCTACTGTACTGTCAGAGCTTAATTGAACATATTAGGCCCTTGCACAGTGACACCATTCATTTTCATTTTTGCAAACCAGCATGAAAATGTCTGATAACAAGTGACGCTCACTGATCAACACTAGCTCGCGATCTACTGTGACAACGTTCCCCATAAGTAGGACCACAAACATGTATCTTTAGTAATGACAACAGTGAATATCAGCGTTATTTTATTTTTGGTGCAATTGAACCGTTTTTTGCCAACTGGTCATGTGTATGTTTGCAAAGTACATTGGCCTTTATGCAAATTTAGCATGCTTTCAAAACCACTATGCATCTAAAGTGATCAGAATAATCTGCCCATTAAAATATGTCTCATATTAATAAAATACATGCAGGTAAATATAAAGAAGCTGTAATTACAGATGATTATAATTTTAACTTTAAAAATTATATGCGTTCATGGAAGGCAAAACCAGCTGAGAACCAGCTTGGGAAATAAGATATATTTATATATACATTAGTGTATTCCCTATAGGCTGAAATGTAAACAGATATACATGTATATACAGGTGACAGATATCTAATAAAGAAAAAAAATATTTTATGGTGTATTGTATTCTACCCTACCCTACCCCAGTATGTTTTTTCACACACATCTGGCCTAATTTATATACCGGTAATACATTGTACAATGTATATATCTTCATAAAAAATAAAAATACGGTGACAACTGTGTAAACAGAGCCATGCATGTGTGAATAGGAAACGTGTCAAAACCAAACGATATATTTTGCTGTTCTTTTGTGATTGCTGCCCATGAGTCTAATACTTTAGTAATAAAATGTTTTAAGAAAATACCACACAAAATTGTAATTCCTAACTGAGGTAAAAGTTGTCAGAACTTTCAAAACACTGCATACATTTGCTGTATAAGTAAAACACATGAAACGTATTTGCTCTATTTGTAGTGAATGTGTTTATATGTATGGAAATGACAGAGGTGTGTCCATATGATCAAAATAAGTTGCCTTTCAATAATTGAGGATATTATGTACAATTTCTGGTTTATATGTTGGAGCGTTTCTAAATTGACATGTACATGTACAGTTCACACCTGTATTTAGTATCTGTAACTGAACAAGAAATTGTAGAACATAGTCTGGTGCATTTTCTGTTTTACCTTGTGTGAGTAAAAAAGGCCTTATTTACTTTTTTATCCAATCATCTGTCTCTGTTTGTGTAAATGAATAAGCAAAACAAACAAACTAATAAAAAGTATTGACATAATTATAATCTATGCTAATAATTTGTTTTTTTGTTTTATATTTCATTACAGGTAGTTCAGTTATTTTACCCGTACTCAATTCAGGTCTATCAAGATGAATTCCCAGGGTTCCATCCCAATGATTGTCCAAGAGATATGCCCAAATCAAAGTGAGTACAACCTTGATACCAGTTTCTGTGCATCACTTTAGGCAAAATAAAAACATCCACAGAAGATTATAGTACATATTATTTTGTTTGTTTTAAGCTCCACTGTCGACTTTGTCGAGTGGAGTTTATCATGTAAGTGATTGTCTGTCAGTGTCTGTTGTCGTCCTGTGTCGTTCAATGTCCGTGTCAACTTTTTACATTTTTGACTTCTTCTTGAAAACCACAAGTCAGATTGCTTTGATATTATACATATAGACACCTTAGGTGAACCTCTCTCAGATTTGTTCATTTCGTGATGATATATTCAAACAGTGATTGGTGAATGTCGACCATATGTGGATGTAGATTGACTCTAATTAACATAATTTATGCATTTCACGTGGATATCTGCAGTATCACCGTAACATCGAATATAACAATAACAACTCTGAAATTAATAATAATATTAATGTTCACCAAAGTCTACTTTTGTCACCTTTTGTAAAATAAAACAGCTATTTTTTTTTAACAAATTTTCAAGAATATTCATCAAATTACGTAGCTGATTAGAAATAATGTCCATTTGGTTTAAAATTATGGGAAAATACCTTCCAGTATTGAAAAATGCCATGTGAGAAACCAATTAGAGTGCTCAAAGGGTTACCCCCGGTTACCTGCAATACCTCGGTTAATTAGTTGTGTAATATGGAGTAGAAAAAAGCTGTAAACAATCATTGCACAATTTACTTGATGTCAATTTTGTTAGGCTCTTTGTTTCTAAGATGGTCTGGGGAATACGATTCTCAACAATTCTCTCCATCAAAATTGTTATTTATAGAATATGCTATTTTCATGCGTAATGACGCAGAAAATCCATTAGTGGTTTTTGGCAGGATCTGCTTGGATACAACATATAATACAAATCCTATAAGTGTATTTTTTTCGGTATGTAATTGAAGGTGGTGACATCAAATGACATCAGATGGCAGTTTCCTCAAAAATGTTCTTCAATGAAAGGATGTGAAGAATGTGTTATTCTATTTTTGTTTTGTTTTGCTCACCAATCAAGTCACATATGGTAACATAAATAAATTTCCACATCCACTAATTTAGAGTTGAAATTTCAAAGAAATAATTGTGAAAATTGATATGTACATGTATTGTAATTGTATACAATTATCACATGATTTGTGAAATTAACACAAATTTACTTGTGTGAGTTAATAGTCGATTTATGAAAGAAGTGATTCATGTTCATCTCAGGCTAGTGTACCTTTATACATTATATTCACAGACAGTATTATATTACATGTTCTTGCTTCTTTGAATGCGCTCATTTCTATTCATAATGTTTCCAAGCATTTTCTGCGTTCTGCAATGACATTGATTACAAATACATGCAAGTCTTGATTGATTGAAACATGGAACTCAGACAGAATGGAATTTTCATTTCTTACCTTGAAAACTATAAAATTTCAGAGCTTCAGTTGTCTCATAAGTAGCTTTGAACTTTTTTGTCCAAAATGGCAATTTAGCATCAAGGGACATTTCTAATTATTTGCCTTTATTTTGGAAAGTTCATCTGTTATGTAGCATCGTAAAAGCTGTTAAAACTCATTCAGTATTCGTTTTACCTTTTAAAAAGTGCTAATAGTGCTTTTTGAAAAACATGCAGCAAAATTAACGCATCTTTACTTTGCTCAGCACCCCCATAATCACAATTTCCCATTGTTAAGGACAACTCGTCCATGCGATAGTTAGGAACTACATCCATAAAATCCATTCCTGGTTTTCAAGTAGGAACTCTAAATCTACTACGCTAGACAATTGTTTTTCTGTCATCCTTAGCAACTTCGTAATGCATGTACCACATTGAATCCAATATTAGGCATATTTCCACAGTACATATATTTTTGGTCATCAGCTTGCTTTTGTATTTCTTTTAGCTAAATACTAGGTTTAGATACTTGTAGAATTTGTTGTGTTTGACATTGTCAGTCAGTTTTGAACACTCGACTGACCCACCCATATGTTTACCTGTGTCTCGTCTTTCCACAAACTTGTTACTGTCTACTGTAAAACATGTCTTTTTCGCGAATTTAGCGAGAGAACTGATTCGCTAATTCAAGATGTCGCTAATAACTTTTTATAAATTCAAAATGGCCAAGGCTTGGGGATTTGTATACAGTAATCTGGAACATAAAAATCTGCGGTGCTTCCTAATTACACTTGACAGGTTTTCTTTGTTTTTATGGGGGTGATAACTGCGCATTTGTTTTGGCTCACGACACACAAGTATTGTGAAAACAGGAAATCAACAATGACAAGAGAGATTCACTAAATCAACATTTCGCTATTACGTCATTTTACCACAATTCGCTAAAATTGCATGTCGCTATTTCAACATGATTTACAGTATGCTGTGTGGTGTGGATTTCGTTCCACAGACAGTGATCACAATCAAAGCATATGACTTGCCCTCTAAGAACAATTCAACTATATTTCTAAGGAGTTCCTTCTGTGATCTTTAAGAACATAGTCATGTTGTTCTAGATACCGGTAGTAACCCATGTTTACCTTAAATCATGTTGACAAATCAAAGAAGCATGTATATGGTTGAATGCCTACTTAGAACTGATAGCACCCAGTGGTTAAGTCTGAATACAATATACTAAATTGTCTTTATTTTTGCCAACAAATTAGGAATCACAAATCTCAAATGTGTCAATGTTTACATGGAAATATACTGTAAAACATGACTTTTTCGCGAGCATGTCTTTTTCGCGAATTTAGCGAGAGAACTGATTCGCTGATTCAAGATGTCGCTAATGACTTTATTATCAATTCAAAATGGCCACCAAACAAAGAAATCAACAATGACAAGAGAGATTCGCTAAATCAACATTTCGCTATTACGTCATTTTACCACAATTCACTAAAATTGCATGCCGCTTTATTGAACAGCCTTTTTTACAGTATTCTGAAAGAGTGATTGAAATGGCTTTAACATTTAATGATATGGGCAAGTGCTGTAATACTTGTGTTATGTTTTTTTAGCAGCCTAATATAAAAGACAATACAGTTCAATTTACAATGTAGTACACAAAGTGACTTGCATATCATTTTCATTTTTTCATTATCATTGTGCAATGAAGACTATCCCATGAAGAGCACTCTACATTTTTAGACTGGAAAAAAAATGTTGACATCAATTCCACAAACCTATCCACTAGATGATTGACAAGTCATTAGAGTGACACACATTAACAAATTTCTGGCTATAGAATGTAACTGTGATGGATATGCAATACAACTTTGTTATTAAATTGTGTTATTTATATAGCTTTTAAACCTTTAAGTGTCAATCAAAGACAACTTTTGTCACTACCGATCGTTATTCACAAATTTAAAACTTACATAATATTTTCAGAATTTTTCCAAAATTTTGATCATGGCGTGTAGCCAATAAAAAATTATGTCCGTTTGGTTCAAAATTATCAAAATATATTTTGAAAAATGCATGAAAACAATCGTTATTTTACCAATTAGGGAGTTAAAAAAGGTAATACCTGGCAGAAAAAAAAAATAGTTTTAATATTCATCAGGGATGAGAATTTGAGATTAATTTGATACAAATGTATTTATTAAATCTATTTATGCATGTAGTACCATTAATAATTATAATAAATTAAGGATAATACTATATACAGTATGTATGTAAATTAATGTGTCCATGTGTTTTCTGCTCTGTTTGATTAAATTTGAAAAAAAAATAATTGAATTTCCGGGTACCACGTATGTCTGTTAAAAACATGTACGTCACAGGTTTTTTTGTCAGAATTTTAGAAAAATTAAGTTTTCATGAAAAAAGCTGTCCAATTTAAGACAACAAATTGATTGGAAACATTTTTCTTTGGTCTAATCTTCTGTTATTTGTTGAGAAAATTATCATTCTTAATTTTAATTTAAAAGTAGATTGATAGATTGTATTATGCTGATTCATCTCTCTGTAATTTCCTGAACTGTCATTAATCCCATGAAAAAAAAAAAAAAATTACAGGCGAGATATTTGGGTAAAAAATGATTTTCATTTTCAATTTTTATGCATTTCAATGTTTAAAAATGTATGTTATTTTAAACCACTTTAATTTTTCAAGATAGAAAAATCGAGTAAAAATCAGATTGAAAATTGAAACAGTAAAATTTGTATGTACCCCGGTAATTTTTCAGTGTGTCTTTGACATTTTTAAAAAGTCATGGTTAATTTAGTATTCATTAGAATGACATTCGTAATGACTGTGTGTTTAAGTACATGATCATGCTCAATGTACAAGAACTTTCTACAAAATCATCTGATACATGTAGCTGAATTAATAGGAATGAGCTTGCTATTAAATTTTTGTATTAAATCGACCTTAAGTGGTTTTCCACATTGTATGACTACGATATTAAAACAATATACAAGTCAGAGCTAACCTGCTAGTGTGTGGATCATTTCGTGATGACATATAGATGACAGTCATTCACTGACTGCTGTTAAACAATCAGCACAAAACTATTGAAAAACAGTCTCATTTAACATTAGGAACCTCACTGAGAAACAATGTTGAATCTTCATCACTAATGAATAGTTTTCATTCAGGGGGGTTGAATTATAGGTTCAATTTCCTTTTTGGTGATACACTATGGAACATAAATGAAAATGTGGGAATTACCTCATCAGCTATAATTAGGAAATATGTAACTGATTTATGGCAATATAGAAAAGAAATGATGAATGTAATTTAAAGATATGTATTACTGTTTTCATGGTGCCGATACAAAGGTTGAATAAACATTATTATTATTATTATTATTATTATATTACCGTAAAATCTGTATTAAAAGCTGCATCTCTAATAGAAGTCGCATCCAAAAATTGATAACCAAAAATTCATCATTTCTCGTATGTGTAGATGCTCTAATAGAAGCCGCATCCCCTGTGTTGTATTGTACCATTTTAATAGAAGCCGTGGTTTCTA